TAGGGTTTTTTTTTTAATTAATAGTAGCCAGGACGACGAAGTGACATCCCCCGAGGATGCGGATCCTTCATGCCAACGACGACTGCTGGTGGAATCTCAAAAATAACAGAGGATTCCAGCTGGACGAGAACTCGCCCCCAAGCCGTTTTTTAAACGCCAGCGCCGAATCCTGAAATCCAGAAAAGTCAGGAAGGCCGGAGCGCCTCTGCCACCAATGGCCTTTGGGGCCCCCTTCTGTCGCGGCAGTCAGACAGATCCGGATTCCGGACCGAGGGCGCGAAGCTGGCGGGTCAGAGGGACCTGCTCCTAAGGAGGCTTGATTCCCTCGAGCATCTTCAGGTATGAGCCAAGCCTGACCGCCTGCGGTTGTCTTGAGGAGCGGGTGTCAGTTTCTGCCCTGCACTCCTGAGCCAGACAGACCCAGCAGGGTGATGATGAGCACGACTTATTCCACTGGCGTTCCTTCATCAGCCTGCGATGAGGCGGCGGAGCGCCTTTACGCAACAGCAATGAAGCCTGAGGGACCGCCTCTCCCCGCAGGTTCCCCAGAGAGCCCTGAGATCAGGATCACAAATCCGCACGGATTTCAGTGGGGGAATCTTTTGCCCTTCAGTAACTGTTTCTGAGCGCATCTTCATCGAGAGGAGGATGCGATCCATGAGGCTGTCTTCTCAGGAAATATGGATGGGATCGAGCTGTGAGCCGCAGTATTCTCAGTGGGAACCACTTGCATGGCAGAGTGGCCGAGGACCAGCGACTGCGACATTTACAGTGCCATCCCAGACCAAGTTCGTTCAGTCTATGTCCCTTGAAATCAGTGGGCTTAGAAGGGCGTAACTCTGTTTAGCACGGCACTGCCAATTTCCCAACTTGTGACCCCTCAGACAACTGTCTGCAGCCGCGTTTCCTTTCCCGTTTTTCCTGTCTTCTCGGGGAGCGCAAGAATGATTTCGGGGAAATGCCCCAGAAAAAAAAAAATTTCTCAAGAAGGCTTCTTTGCTTCCTGCTTTCCTCTAATGGGAAAATATTGACCCATGAGAGAAAAACCCGAACATTCTCTTGGTTGTTTTAAATTGCAGAGTAAATAATTAAGAGCCGACACCGCTGTGTTTGCTTAAAAAGGGAAAGTTCTATCTTTACTGAAATCAAGGGAGGGGAACTTTGGAGGTAAAACAAAGAAAAGACATTCGAGCTTCTAGAGTTACATCGTGACGATTACAGGGCTACAACTATAACATGGCTTATTCTTCCTCTGAAAACAGCAGAAGACCTACAATAAACATGCAGACAGCTACATACATGATCAAAGCAAAACTTCAATTCCATCTATTGATTAACCAGTAAAGAGGTTACAGATCACATTATTAAACTAAACAACACCCACTTTCTACACTTCTAATTGGTTACAGCTAAGCTAGGCAACATCCTGTTTACACGCAAGCATCAATTTAACTCTTTCGTGACTGAAAGTCACACCCCTTCTCAAGTTCCAGCACTGCAGTCACTCAGGTTCAGCTTCTCCTGTAGATATCTGAATCTCCCTTTGTCGAGTGGCCTGGTGAGGAGATCTGCAGTCGTCTCTTTGGTAGGACAGTACTCGATTTCAGTCAGTCCTTGTTGCTGCATATCTTTCACGAGAGGACATTTGATGGTAATGTATTTTCTTTTCAATTGGATGCTTTCACCTTTGCATATGGTTATGCAAGCTTGATTGTCTTCAAACAAAATGATTGGTTTAGGTTCATCTGTGCCAAAGTCCTTAAGTAGATGAATGATCCATTCTAGTTCACTACAGGCACTTGCAACAGGCACACATGGTGCCTCAGCGGTAGATAGGGTGAAGAAGAGTGTTTGCTTTTGGGACCTTCTGGGTGCTAAGGAGGCGCTCTACTACTGAGCCACAGCCCTTTATCACAGGGCTTCTCTTCTCGGTGAGGAAGGAACATATACAGAGACAGAAGACCTGAGTCAAGATGTTAATGTCGGTTGGCACTGCCATGGGATGTCTCTGTGCTGGAGTGTGAGCTGTGCGCTTGCGCCTGGCCACCCCGCTTTCCCCTGCAGCTGTCTTCCCTCTGTTGCATTGTTATCTCTCTGTGGCCTTGAGTGCCTGGATCTTGCCTCCTTTCCTGTCTTCTGCCCTCCTTTCCCAGTCTTCTGCCCTCGCCGGGTCCATTAGCTGCCCCCCCCCTCCCGCACTTGCAGGTATTTGCTCATTGGCCTCTGCTCATCAGGGGGTTGTATACGAATGAGGTATAACTGTTTAGCCCGTGCATCTTACGTTATTCCTAACACAGAGGTTCATGGAGTATCCTCTACTCTGATCAATAAACTGAACCTATCCAGGTCCTGTGTGTTGTTACTGAGTTATTGGAGTACCTGACAGTTAAATAGCAAAACAGGTTTGTAGTATGATACAGGAAAGGTACTCTGGACTGGATTGCCTTCATGGGGGGATGTTGGAATTGCAAGTTGCTTACACTTCAGCCATTACAGAGTTAAATGTTGTTTGTTAGCAAACAGGATGTTACGTTACATAATATATTCAACGGGAGGGAAAGTTTGTGGGAGTTGTTTACCCTAATGAAGTGACCTGTAACCTTTGTATTGGTCAACTAATATCTTGTTTGTAAAAATGCTTTGATTTAGCATTAATGTATTCACAAGTTTATGGCCCTTTGTGTGAACCAAAGCGTTAGTTCTCTTCTAGAAGCCAAGAGAGATAGAAAGATGTAGCTGTTAGCATATATTACTGAGAGTAACTGCAAGTATGCAACTTTTCATTTCATTTCTTTTATCCAAAGTACCATACCCATGTTTTATTTTGTTTTTATAGTAAAGATATTTTTCTTTTACTAAGTGTGGCTCTGTGTTTGCAATACAACCATCGACCTTGAATTAAGAATCCCAACAGGGAAAGAAGAATAAAGAGGGCTCTTGCATTATGAAGGGCTGGTTAAACACTTTTAGCCAAAACCTGAGCCCACGCTGCAAGGGAAGGGGGGACCTAAGGGGAGTGACTAGATGTGCTTTTTGATCTTCCTTTCATTTTCCCTGACTGCTCCCAAAGCAATGCTCTTTGCCTTTCCCTGTAATGGGGACAGTGAGAAGAATCTGGATCATCTGCTGTACATTCCCTCTTTACCAGATTTCTTCTGTAAACTAGGAAAATGCGGCAGAAGAATTGTGGAAACCTGGGAAGAAGGGTGAAGTTATATATATTGCTTTTTCTAATATGAAGCTTTTTCTAATATGAAGCTTTTTCTAATATGAAGCTTTTTCTAATATGAAGCTTTTTCTAATATGAAGCCTTTTCTAATATGAAGCTTTTTCTAATATGAGTGAACCATAGTTCTACCACACATTTTTTAAAAAGTGCTTGGCATCAGGGGAATATTGTCTGTTTACAGTGATTAAGCTGATTTAACTTCATTTATATCCCACCTTTCTCAGGAAGACTCAAGGCAGATTACAAAAGAATGCAACCAAACCTTCCTTGGTCCACATATAATGCAGGGCTATATAGTACTGGGGGATGTGGTGGGGTGGGATGCAGCAGTAAGAGAATCTAGAAGGCTGGTGCCATCCGATAGCAAAGGGGCAGCCATGGTAGTCTGTTGTGGCAAAATGAAACAAAAGTGTGGTGACACCTTAGAGAACTTTATTTCAGTACAACCTTTCCTGAGTCACAGCTCACTTCTTTGGCTATGTGGGAGTCGAACTTCCCAGACTGCTGGGCTCTTTCCAGCCAGTTCTGCTTCCTCAGTGCAAAACTGTCATGAGTCAGCCAGGACTCAGCAACAGCGACGACTCCTCAAGAGACGAGGACTGCTTGGAGATGAAGAGCCTCAGGAAATCAGCTCCGAACCAGCAGAAACCAGCAAGCAAGGAGATGAGCTGCAGGCTTGTCAGAGTTCACAGCCGACAGTTGATGCAGAGCCAGCAGTATCTTCCAACAGAGGAAACCTAGGTGGTTGTTACCAGCCCTCCAGTTTCACCCACGCCCTTTGAGCACTGGAGACGAAGGCTTAGAATGGAGCTTCTGGAAAGACGACAAAGCACACTTATCCTGGTCCAATGCCAGCTGCTTGCTGATAAGTAGCTGCAAGGTTACTCTGAAGCAGCTGGCTGCAAGTAAGACCTTTCAGCAGAGATGTACAAAAGCCAGTCAAGAGAGACTGCTCGATGTGGAAGCAACAAGTCACCAGTCTCTTGGCTTAGTGACCACAGCTGTGAACTCTGCTCTGTTTCTGCAACCCTTGGACTGGCTTGTTGTCACCAATGGCCTGCCTCATTGTTAGGGGAAATTAGCTATGTGGCAGGGGAGGCCAGAGAGGTACTAGGGATCACACACTTGTTCATACCATGGTCTGATACAGTAGGAAGACTCCAGATTTGAAGAGTAAACTAAATAGTTTTTATTGAAGAATTTCCCTTATTCCAAGCACACTAAGCATTCAAGAAAGAGCAAGCAATTCAGAACTAAGAAAGCAGAGATGATGATAGTGAATAGAAGGGTTAGTTGTGGGTTATACTACTTGCCCAGATGTGCAGAGGTCCTTGAAGAGAATAGCATCAACAGCCAGCATTATGTGCTAAGGAGTAGGTCCAAAGGAGAGACTTTGGGGGTGTACTCAAAGTATAGGTGCCATCTGAGTGCACACCTTAATGGCCATGTGCTTGGATAGACATCAGAACACAATGTGGACCAGTGGGAGGCCTTGAGGGGCTTGTCTCAGGCGAAAGACTACCTGGACCAATAGGGGGTCCCAGGGGTGTAACACCAAGAGGAGCAAAACCTAGGTGTGACCAATGAGGTCCCAGAGGGGCAGAGTCTGGATTCACAATAGCATTGATGAGATTAGCCAGGTGCTGGATGGCCCTACTGGAGCTGGCTGAATGGGTTTGATTATCACTGATGGTCCTGCCCTGGCAGGTTGAATAGGTTCCCAGGTTTACACAAAAGGTGGGAAATGGGTTCCTTAGCTCTGAGGGCTGACTTGTGCAACCTGAAAATGAAGAGCCTTTTCCAGTGCTGTGGCTAGCTCGGTGGTTCAGACCAAGAGTGCCTTCCTTGGCCTGACTTTGTGGGTCACTGGTTCTGGTCAGAGGTGGGATGCCCCATTGTTGGGGCTACCCCAGAGTAAGGCAGCACCTCTGGGCTACAGGCTCTTGACTCTGACTCTGGAATCTTCCTCCCTGTCCTCATGAAAGACCTCAGACTGTTGGACCTTGCTTCCTGTATAACACTCTGAACTCTCTCAGTAACTGACCTTTGGACTGAACTTTGACTCTGACCCTGGAATTTGGCTTGGACCAACAGAGTCTGGCAAAAACAAAAACAAAACAGAAATAAAACAAACCAAGCCTGGTTGCTTGGCTCCTTGTGCTGAAATTAAACCATAGTCTGGGAGCACCTTAATGACTAATAAAAGTAAACCCCCACATAGGCTTTGGTGAGCCAGAGCACACTTCCACAGATTGCAGTGTTCCAGCATGCATGACATTCTATTGCTCATCGGAATTAAGTTGAAATCTAATGCGCCTATGAATTTGGCTTAATCTATGCAGCATTCCCCAATCTTGTCAAGCCTATGGGCTCTTTCAAAATTTTCAGAAGTTATTGGGTGCCATAACAAAATGGCTGTCATGGAGAATGGGTCCAATTACAAAACTTTGGGAGGGTCCACAAGATGTTTGGAGGTCCCAAGCATCCTCCCGTGAGGGAGGCAGCTCTTTCGAATGGATGTTTGCTGCAGACAGAAAGGCGATGCTTCCTTGGCTTCTTTGAACCACCCCCTACTCCAGTGCAATTAAGGGAGATCAGGACTGGGACTTTGCTTTGGAGAAGAGATGCTCTGGGGGGAAAATAAGTGGTTTCCAGGAAACACTCCAGAGGTACCACGTTGGAGGTTGCTGATATATGGGTACTTTATCCTACAGTCTTCAAATCTCCTCCCCACCTATGGATAGTGTTGGGTATAACAAGTTTAAAACACTTCAGTATTTACAGGGTTAATGTTGTCAGTATTAGTAAACAGGAAGTCACATGTTTGTGTTTAACCAATCTGTTTTTGCAAAGTAGAAAACCAGGGGAATTTTTGTGGGAGGTTCTGATTGTAATGTCTTGAAGAAGAAGACACCATTTTTCTTGCTATAAAGATGTAGGGACTTAATCCTCTCGTATATTTTATCCCATGTACCTTTCCCCATGAAAGCTTTATAGTAAAGGGTTTTCCCCCCGATTTTTCATACACAAGACTCAGTCTCTCTTTTTCACTCTGCTGAATCTGATCTATGCTTAACCATACTCTTACCAGAATCCCAACAGATAGGCTCCTTTGAACAATGGTTATAAGAATGCATGTGAACGCGCACACACACATACTAAAATGAAGACTTTTTTCTGCAGCCCAATCCTGCTGCAAATTCACTCAAACGTCCTATTTGAGTTCAGTGGAATCTACTCACAAGTGACAATGCACTTTGTTGTGTAAATAAATTCATCTGGATGCCAATAGATCTTTTTGCTCAGTAAACTGGCTCAGGATCCCGGGCTGAGATTTTGGGGAACCCACTGAACAAGATGAGACTACACTCATAGCGGTGGAATGCTAGACTGCAATGCTCCAAAAGGGCTTGCTTCCGAGTACCCATATTTAGGATTTGACTGCTAGGCCCATGGATAGCAAAGAAAAAGATAGGCATGAGCTTTTCCTATAGAAAATTAAGTGTGCTACATTTTCTACTTGATACCTTTTAACATACCTTCATACTTTGTATACCTTAGATCAAGGGTTTCCTACCTTTTTGAGCCTGTGGACGTCTCTGGAATTCTGAGACAGGAAGTAGAGCCAAACACCAAGGAAGCCCACATGCCAGGGAGAAGAGGAGTGATTTTAAAAATACTCTGGGGAAAAGGTGGGACCAGGAGAGAGAATGTTGGAGTCTGCAAGTTCATCCTTCAGTCATGAAAGAGTTAATATGTTTATGTATGCATGCTAATGATAATTTATTCAGCTTAGGACCAATTAGATCTTACACACATAGTTCCCTCCAGAGAGAATGTGACAATATGCCTAATGAAGTGAGTTGTAGAATGTCTACTGGCTGACCAGTTTTATTGGGATGCTACTTCCTTTTGGTCACTTACACAAGTTGGGAAACTTTATTTCCTTTGTTCTCACACATACAAGGTTTAGCATCCAAACAGTCAACATGGAGCTTAAAACTAGTTAGACTGGATGTTTGTTATTTTACTTCCAAATGTAACCCTTCCCCTCTTTTATACAGTAAAGCAGGGGGTTCAAACATGCGGCCCATGGGCTGGATATGCCCCCTGCAGGGCTGGTATCCAGCCCATGAACAACTGGCTTTCTCCTGCATCCTTATCCTGGCTGCTACTGCTGCTGCATTGCCAAGCCTCTCTTCCTCCTCTAGGAAGGAAGTGAGGGTGAAGGAAAAAGAGAGAGTGTGTGCACCAGAGAATAGCTCCCTCAATGCTCTCCCCTGCTTCCTCCTCTGGGGCTGCTGCTGTGTTGCTAAGCCTCTCTTCCCTCATTTGGAGAGGGAGGGAGGGAGGTGAAAGGAAAGAGAGAGAGCGCACAAGAAAGAGAGGGAGTCCCATTACACCTTTGAGACCAACAAAGTTTTATTTCAGCTATAAGCTTTCCTGTACATGTACACTTCTTTAGAGAGAGGGAGGGAGGGAGATTCTTCTGACAAGCCCTGCTCTGCTGTTTACTTTGAGACCTGATCTCACACACACACACGTTAAAAAAGGAAGGGGAGCGGGAAAGAGATGCATCTGGGATAAGGGGAATTAAAGGAAAATTATTTTGCCTTGTTCTGAGAAGTTTTTTTAAGATTAGATTTTTGTGCCTATCTGGGATTTTATTTTCTTTCAAAAAGACCCTGATTAGTAATTACAACACTTGGATTGGATTCCGTGGTTTAATGACTGGAAATAGATGGCTAAGTATTTCAAAATACATTTATGGTTCCATATATTCCAGTTCAACACGTGGTCTCCCTCTCTCCCCTCCCCCCTCACTGGCTGCCTTTCTTCACATTAACCCCCCCACACTTTTTAAACTTTTTATTATCATCACTAGCAATGAGTGGATTTTGTCCAGTCTGAAAGCAGCCCATTATTTCAATTTGAGAGATCCCCCTTTCCAGTTCTAATAGACAAAAAAAAATTATAAAAGAAATCTAACAGCGCAGCTTGCTGTCTTTATTAGTGGAAGGGAGCAAGGGTCCAGTAGCACCTTAATGACCAACAAAATTTGTGGCAGGGCATGAGCTTTTATGAGTCACTGCTCACTTCTTCAGGTACAGCTAGAATGTGAGTCCATCTGCCCTTATATCTTGGAGAGTGTTGAGATTTCAGATGTCAAATAACAATAGCAGCCATTAGTAATGAGAGAAAAAACCTAGGTCGCAATTCAGCCCAGGAGGATGAATTGAGTTTCATTATCAGTTGCAATTCAGCAGTCTTGATTCTAATCTCCCTTTGAAATTTCTTTGTAAGAGAACTGCTACTTTTAGGCCAGCAACTGAATGTCCTGGAAAATTAAAATGTCCTCCCATTGGTTTTTGAATGTTGTGGTTTCCTATAGCTATAGAAAAAATAAGAGTCCAATAGCACCTTGAAGACTAACAAAATTTGTGGCAGATTATGAGCTTTCATGAGTCACTGCTCAGTTCTTCAGACTTATGTACATTTATTCTTTGCATCCTCCTGGACTGAATCCTCCTGGACCGAACTGAGACCTAGGTTTCCTGTCTCATTATCAATGATGATATCTCCACACCTACTACCCCTCTGCATATTACACCTCATCCAATTAAACCTATTGCCATTTGACATCTAATATCATCTTTATAAAGTTTATATCTCTGGTACTTCGTGTTACATTTTATGGCACACATGGTCCAGCCCAACAAAGTGACATTTAGGTCAGATCCAGCCCTAATAACAAATGAGTTCAACATTTCTGTAGTAAAGACTTTTTCTTAAACTAATACACGTGTGTTGCCTTCCTTACTCTGCTAAATATTCCAACAGAGAATAAAACCAACACTGGGGGCAGCTGGCGCAGGAAAAAATGTTAATCTGCCCAGCCAATCAGCTCTCCAGTGGCCAGTCAGGAGCCCTATTGGGCAAGAGCCCCACGTACTCTCTAAAAGAACTTGCTGGAATCCAGGTATGCAAAAATTCTACTTTGTGAGCTGCTGGCATTAAAGTTGTGAGCGAGCGATTTGGCTACTGCATAAATTAGTTTGCGCTGGAGCCATCCTCCCGGAGCTGAGACAAAACTGTGAGCCAGAGGCTAAAAAACTGAGCTCCTGCCGGCTGGAGTCCTAAATGCGACGGCGCGGGTTGATGGCGTGACTTTTGCTAACCCCTTCCCCCATCCCTGAAGGCCCCCCCCCCAGTGTTCTTCCAGCCCAGTGTGAACCCGCTGAAGTACCCGAAGTCGTGGTGCTGGTTTCTCCAGGAATTCCATTTCGGGCCCAGTGGAAACGGGGCGGGCGGCTGCTTGACATCCAGAGGCACTCGGACCGCTCCTCGCCAGCCTCGTCCTGGCCCGACGACAGTTCCCCCGAGGAGACCACGCAGTCCTGCTCCGGCTCCCGGCTGCTCCCGCTGCCGCCGCCTCCCCCTGCGCCGCCTCCCCCGCCGCCGCCCCGCTTCTTGTCCTCCTCCTTCTTCCACTTCATGCGTCGGTTCTGGAACCAGATCTTGATGTGCCGCTCGGTCAAGTTCAGCATGACGGCCAGCTCCACCCGCCGCGGCCGGGAGATGTACTTGTTGAAGAGGAACTCCTTCTCCAGCTCCAGCAGCTGCGCCCGCGTGTAGGCCGTCCGCGTCCGCTTGTTCTCCTCGGGCTCCACCACGAAGGAGCCGCCTGCGGGGGAACCACCGACAGTTAGCAGCGCCTGGAGAGACCGCCACCGCGGCGGGGGGGGAGGGGGCGCCGCGGGCCCTTCCCTGGAATGAAACTGGGGGTCCTGCAGTCGCCCAGCCCACCCGACCGGGGATGGAGGTTTCTCTCCTCGCAAGGAGACGTCGGTCTGAAAGCCTGTTCTGAAAGCCAAAACACTGAGCTGGAGCTGGATAACGGTTTCAGTAGAACCCCTTCGAAGGCTCAGTCTAGACGCAACCGGAAACAAAAATCCTATATTGGCTCCTTAAAAGAAAAATCTTAATGGGAAAAGGGATTCCTGATGAACAAGTATAGATAGGAACTCTCAGACTGGGGCAAGTGATGCTCTGTCTTCTTGGTGCTTAGCAGAGGTCATTTGGGGGGGGGGAACGTGGGGAAACACAGTTCCCCCGAGTGAGGTGCAGGGGGTGGGGCACATGACAAAGCCCCGCCCCCTGCTTCCACCGGCTTCCAACCCACATTCAGCCAGGAGGAGGCAGGAGAAGAGGGGGGGGACGTTGCTTCCTCCCTGCCTCTCCCCACCCCTGCCTGCCTGGGGCCAGGGAGGGCCTTCGCGGGGCTTCCTTGCACTCCCGCCGGCCTTGCAGGTCCACTGATGTCAGGGGGTGTGGCATATGCTAATGAGTTATGCTAATGAGTTCCCCTAGCTCTTTTTCTATGAAATTACCCCTGGTGCTTAGTGAGGTGGGGGGGGGCCCTCATAGTGTCCTGGCCCCACTGGTGGACCTCCTGATGGCACCTGGTATTTTGGGCCACTGTGTGACAGAGTGTTGGACTGGATGGGCCACTGGCCTGATCCAACATTGGCTTCTCTTATGTTCTTATGTTTAAGTCCCGTGGCCGTTTTCTTCTAAAACAGTGTAATCTTCTACCGTTTAACTCACTGATCAAGGAGCGCCTGGATGAAATGGAAATAAGTCGGTCTATTGCTGATGCGGGGGTTTCTAAGCAGAAGTCACCACTCCCTCACCATAATTACCAACATCGTAAAATAAGTGGGTTGTAGATCAAATCAAGCCTGAACTCTCCCTAGAAGCTAAAATGACTGAACTGAGGCTATTGTACTTTGGTCACGAATGGGAAGAGTCACTGGAAAGGACAATAATGCGAGGAAAGAGGAAAACCCACCAGGAGAGGGACTGACTTACAGTGCAATGCTAAGGAGAGTTACTTCCGTCTAAGCCCATTCATTCCAATACTTTAAGACAGGAGTAACTCTCTTTAGGACTGCCCTGTGAGTCAGTCGAGAAAGCCACTGCCTTCATTCTCCAAGACCTCAGCAAGTTTGTTAAGGACAGGACGTGTGGGAGGACAGTGGTTCATAGGGTCGCCATAAATCGAAAGCGACTTAAAGGCACTTCACATTTCCCATTACAGTAATAGGCCGGAATAAACTATTGAAATAAGCACCTGCCCTTCCCTTGGAGTCTTTCCAATATTCCCAAGTCCCCCCCCCCCACAGGCAAAGGAAGCCCAGGAAATCAATGGCGCAGTCCCAGGCAGAGTTCCGCCCTTCTAAACCCTTCCCCTTTGAGGGACATAGACATTGTCGGTCACCTGGTTCGGAGGACACAGGACCACTCGGGAGCTCGGACTGGGCGAGCATTCCGCAACAACCTGAAAACGGAAAACCTGCTGTTCAAGGCGGAAACGGCTCCAGGGTCACCAAGAAACCGCAAACTGCTGACTGGGTGAAATAGGCCATCGGCCTACCCAGCTTGCTTGCGGAGGGAACCCGCGAGACACTCAAGTCCTCTGATATTATTCATGCCAGTGCGGTACTTTTTAGTGGCCATTGTTGGGTGATAGTGAGATATTGAAAAAATGGTATTTAGCAGAGATAATATAGAACAGCAGAGCCTGAGTAAAATAATTCAGACTCAGAGTCCATGTGTGATTAAAAAATAAAGTTTTTACTAAATTCTAGCATGGGGAAGGGTAACTGGGATGAAAATAACAGCAGAACATAATCGGCTACATCCTTACACTACGAAGACAAAACTAGAAGAGAGAGAGATTATTGCTGCTCTTCTCGTTCTTCAGAACACCAAAACAAAGACCGGAAGAGAAGCCATAAAATGGTAATATACCTTGACACTTTAGTCCCAATCAAATTCCTAGATCAGGGAGAAAATTCAAATTCCTAGATCAGGGAGAAAATTCCCGGGTATTCTACAGCTAAAGAACATTGGTTACATGAGAAACATGTGACTTCCTGTGAGTAACATAAACAAACATTTAACCCCAGATATGCTGAGTGTTTTCAACTTGTAATACCTAAAACGCCTTCTCAAGTTAAAACACGAAAGTCATGCAAATTCAAACATTCACAAAGAGTCTGAAAATGTTGCTTGTCAAGCAGCTTGGTCAGGATGTCGGCAATAATCTGATCAGTAGGACAGTATTGGAGTTCAATCAGTCCTTGGTCTTGCAGCTCTTTCACATAGTGACATTTGAGTGCGATGGTCTTGTTTTTAGATTTGGTGCCTTCACCTTTGCAGATGGTGATACAAGCTTGATTATCCTCAAAAAGTATTATTGGCTTTGGTTCATCTATGCATAAGTCTTTCAGTAGATGAATAATCCAGTAGAGTTCATAGCTGGCACTTTGTGCTGATACACATTCAGCTTCTCCAGTAGACATGGCCACAATAGTTTGCTTTTTACTAGTCCATTCAATCAAACTGTCTCCATAGTAGAACAAGTATCCACTTGCAGATTTTCTATCTGGTGAGTTTTTGTCCCAGTTGGCATCCATGTATCCAATCAGTCTTGGATTTTCAAGGCAAGAGACATTTACATGTGAACATAAGAACATAAGAGTTGGCATCCATGTATCCAGTCAATCTTGGTTCATCACAGGGCTGAAATTTTAAGTTTGTAGTCCAAAGTTCCTTTTAGGTATCTCGCCAGTCTGTTAATGGCTTTCCAGTCATGATCATTGGGTGAACTGGTCTTTCTGCATTAAAAGTCCAACAGCTGAAGTTATGTCTGGACGACAGATTGTGCTCAGATATAATAATTTTCCAATTGCGGATCTGTATTCATGATTGTCTTAAGTGGTTTTCCATTGGTAAGTTTGGGATAGTCCTTATCAATTGGAGTGCTTACTGGATTGGAATTTTTCATTCCTACAGATTCAATAAAGTCTATGATCTTTTGCTTTTGGCTCAAAAGAAAACTCCCATCCTCAGTTCTTTCAGTTTGTATTCCAAGGTAGTACTTTATAGTTCCTAATTGTTTCACTTCAACTTCTTTGTTCAGTTCATCTGCTATTTCTCCTTGATTTTGACAACAAATAATCAAATCATCAACATAAATGAGTATGTATTGACACTTTCCATTTTTAAGTCTTGAGAACAATCAGGCTTCTGCTATTCCTTGTTGAAAGCTTTTCGTTCCAAGCTTTGGCTGCTTGTTTTAGTCCATACACGTTTTTGTTGAGTTTACACACTAGGCCTTGTCCTTCTGTTGACAATCCCCCTGGCTGTTTCATTTAGATTTCTTTTCCCCCCCAAAAAAACAATTTATTAGGATATATTATAAAGTCAAATATACATTATATTATTAGTTGTTATACATCCTTTCTTCTATTAATCTCCCCCCCCTGGCTTCCCACAGTGATCCAACCTCCATCCTATTTCTTAAATTTTCTTCTATTTTCCCTTATCTCTTAATCATAATTTACCGGTAACATTTCCTTCACCTATTGTTTTCTTATACTTAACTTTCTTCTAATAACATAAATTTTTCAATAACTGTCAAAGCAAATTAAATGGTCCTTTACATCCCAATTTTCATGTAGATTTCTTCATTCAGGTCTCCATTGAGGAAGGCTGTCTTGATGTCCAAATGTTCAACGTGCGTGCCCCTTGATGCTGCTATGCATAGGTCCTGAAGGATGTATAGCTCACAACAGGTGCAAAAGTCTCTGAAAAATCAATTCCAAATTTTTGTGAGAAGCCTTTTGCAACTAGGCGTACCTAGTATTTGTCTAATTTGCTATCAGGGACGTACTTTACTTTGTACACCCACTTGCAGCCAATGGCTTTTCTGTCAGGAGGCAATTCAGTAAGAGTCCAAACTTCTTTGTCTTGTAAAGATCCAAATTCTTCTTCCATTGCTTCTATCCACTTACTTCTCTCAGGCTCAGACAGGCTGTTGACTTCCTTCCAGTTACAAGGTTCCTTCACTGGTTGTACACTTGCAAAAATTCCATACATCGGTGGTGGTACACCCTTCTTACTCCTTGCTGAGTGTCTCACAGTGGTTGTCTCTCTTACCCTTGGCATAGCTTCTCCTGGTTCCCCTTCTGAGCTGGAACTCTCTCGTGGAGATGGACCTGCCTGTTCACAGGTGGTCTGCCAGAGGCATATCCCACCAGGATACCAGGTTCTGCTCTTGGGTCAAGTTTGCCTCTTTTCTCCTTTGGTATATGTGCATAAGCTTTAGATCCAAAGGCTCTTATATGTTTAAGTCCAGACATTCTGTTATGCCATAATTCAAAAGGACGTTTATTGGTAGTTTTTGATGGAACTCTGTTATGCAAATAGACGGCAGTGTGGACTGCTTCTGCCCAGTAAGACTCTGAAAGTCCAGATTGCATTAGCATAGAACGTGCCATTTCATGAATGGTTCTGTTTAAGCGTTCTGCTGTTCCATTTTGTTGAGAAGAATAAGGAATTTTAGTCTTATGTTCAATTCCTTCTTGTTCCATGTGTATAGAAATATTGATTCCTATAAACCCCTACCTCCCCTAGAATGTGTTTTGCTGATATCTTGCTGGTACCCTGCTGTGTTGATTTCCTGTTGAAGCCAAATAGAGAGGTCCAGATAGCCTCTATTGCCGTGCCATAAAAACATTCCTTCACACCTCATGCTGGAAGCTGGGCCAGCATGCCAGAAACTGCACATATGCTATGGGAGTTGGGGTTTGGGGGATCACATAACTGCGGGTGTGG